TCCAAAACCAGGGAAAGACCCAACCAAAAAAGAGAACTACAGGCCAATCTCCCTAATGAACGTAGATGAAAAAAATCCTCCATAAGAAAATGGCAAACAGAATACAGAGGATCATCAAGAAGATCATACACCCTGACCAAGTTGGATTTATTCCAGGGATGCAAGGATGGTTCCACATACATACATCAATACATGCAATATACAATATTAACAGAGTCAAGGACAAAAACCATAGGATCATCTCAATAGATGCCGAAAAAGCATTTGACAAAATTCAACACCCATTCATGATAAAAAAAAAACCCTGCAGAAAATTGAATAGATGGTCTTTATCTCAACTTGATAAAGGCTATCTATGAAAAACCAATAGCCAACATCATATTAAATGGCCAAAAAAACTGAAAGCCTTCAAACTAAAATCAGGAACAGGACAAGAATGTCCGCTATCATCACTCCTGTTCAGTGCAGTTCTGGAAATATTAGCCGCAGCAGTTAGACAAGAGAAAGAAATTAAAACAATAAAGATAGGAAAGGAAGAACTGAAACTGTCTTTATTTGCTGGCGATATGATACTCTACATAGAAGAACCAAATAATGCTGCCAAAAGGTTTCTAGACTTAAGTGACACTTTCAGCAGAATAGCTAGATACAAGTTCAACACTCAAAAATCAATAGCCTTCTTGTACACAAATAACAGATTCTCTGAGAGAGAAATTAGGGAAACGATTCCTCTCACAATAGCATCCAAAAAAGTGAAATATCTAGGAATCAATCTAATGAAGGAAGCAAAAGACCTTTGCACTGAAAACTATAGCTCTACGAAAAAAGAGAACGAAGAGGATATAAGAAAATGCAAGATATCCCCTTATCCTGGGTAGGAGGAATCAACATAGTGAAAATGGCCATACTACCAAAACTGCTATACAAATTCAATACAATCCCGATTGAAATTCCAACAGTATATATCACAAAACTAGAGAAAACAATCCAAAAATTCATTTGGAACAAGAAGATACCTAGAATAGCAAAAGCAATTCTAACCAACAGAGACATGACTGGGGGTATCACAATCCCCAACTTGAAACTGTGCTACAAAGCCACTGTGATAAAAACAGTGTGGCACTAACAAAGAAAAAGAAATGAGAATCAGTAGAACAGATTGGAAGACAGAGAAAGAACTCCAGATGTACTCAGCTTTCTCATCTTTGACAAAGATGAGAGGAAAGGTAGCCTCTTTAATAAATTATGTTGGAAAAACTGGATTTCAACCTGACAAAGATTAGAATTAGACTCTTATCTTTCACTATGCACTGAACTAAAATCCAAGTGGATTCAAGATCTAAATATTAACACAGAAAAACTAAACTTGCTGGAAGATAAGGTAGGCAGAACTCTATAAGGAATTGACATAGGAAAAGATTTTATGAACAAATCCTCACTAGCACAGGAACTAGCATAAAGAATCAACAACTGGTATCACATCTTATTAAAAAGCTTCTGCATTGCAAAAGAAACTACCAGCAGAGCTAAGAGGCAACCTATAATGTGGGAAAAAATTTTACCAGCTGCTACTCAGACAAAGGACTCTTGTCTAGAATACATAAAGAACTAAAAAAAAATCAAGCCCCCAAATATAAAGATTCTGATTCAGAAATGGGCACCTGACATGAACAGACATTTCTCAGACAAACAAGTAAAAGCAGCAAATAAATATATGAAAAAATGTTCAACATCACTTGTCATTCAAGAGATGCAGATGAAAACAAAACTGAGATTCCACCTCACCCCACAAAGAATGGCTTCTATCAAGAAATCACACAATAACAAATGTTGGCGGGGTTGTGGGGAGAAAGGAACCCTTCTCCATTGTTGGTGGGAGTGCAGACTGGTGCAACCACTATGGAAATCAATATGGAGATACCTCAAACAACTAGGATTAGAGGTTCCATTTGATCCAGCTATCCCTCTGCTGGGTAACTTTCCAAAAGAATTAAAGAATCATACCACAAGAGATATATGTGCACCCATGTTTATATTGGCACAGTTTGTAATAGCTAAAATTTGGAAAGAGACCAATTGTGCATCAGTTGGAAACTGGATAAAGAAGATGTGGTTTTTCTATGAAATGGAGTACTACTCAGCCATAAAGAATGAGAAACTAGAGAAATTTATAGATGTACATTGAGGCCATACTCTAAAGTGAAATAAATAAGACACACATGCATAAATACCGAATAGTTTCCCTGGTGTGAAAAACTACAAGTGTAAATGAGATCCAAATTGTTTAACTGATAATGTGAAATAGGAAGAAAAGGGCTAAAGGTATATGGAAAGTGGGAAGGGTAGTGGAAAGAAATAAGGGAAAAGAAAAAACATTAGAAAAGAAAAAATGGAAACAATGTCTTTGTATATAGGAGAGGTGGAGGGGGTGAAAGGAGGGCAGGGGTATGGGGCAAAAGCGAGAACCAAGATCTATCATGTAAAGGTACAAGACCCCAATGATGAATGTAACTGTACTGCACACCTAAAAAGTACCAATAAACTCAATTATTTAAAAATTAAATAAATAAGGGTAATAAAATATCTTATATGACAAGTACAAGATATGCTAAAAAAAAATGACTACATCACAAGACAGAACAGCCAGATCGAAGTGATTCCCACTAAATCTAAGTCAATTAAAACATCAAAACAGATAATGACAATAAAAATTATATTTCATTGAATAAAATAAGGATTCAGGAGCCCACACTGATAGTTATCTTACTGAATCAATTAAAGTATAATGCCAACTTTAAAAAGTACAGGGAATTGTGGAGCTAGAAAATTATCATTTGACAACTATCGCGGTACCAATTTAGGCGAGAATCTTCAGTGGTTGATGGAACTACTGGTGAAATTTTGAGGAGGAAATAAGGTATTTACATAGTCTTAAAATATCTTACCCAAATCACTTATTAATTACAAAGAGATATGATGTGCTTTCCAATGTGACATACAGAGAAGGAAGAGAATATTGCTTGTGTATTATTTCTGCCAAAAATGTACAATTTGAATCTAAACATAAGGAAACCCAAACTGAGGATCAGTCTGCAAAACACCTGGCTTATCCTCTTCAAAAATGTCACTGTGATGCAGGAGTTAGGAAGCTGCTGTTTTAAACCCAAATAGAGATGTGGAAGACCTGAGCTACAGCGATGGCAATGAAGATTTTGAGGAGGGATCAAAAATAAGAGACATAAATCTTACATATTGGGCATATAAATACTGCTTGGACGTGACAAGAAAAGGAGATGAGGAAATCCACATTTTCCATCCAGGCTATTTATACAGAATGGAATTTTGAAGAGGACTTTCGAATGACAAGGTAAAATGAGTTTATTTTAGAGGTAGAGTTACTTTCAGGTTAACACGGGTCAATCAAGTCATGACCAGTACTTGGGTTGAAGGGAGAAACCAAATACGTTGTGAAGACATCTGTTGTAAGAAATGGTTACAGGCATGGCTCCCCGGGGGGAAAAAGAAAGAAAACCCAAAGGATGAGCAAAGAATAAAAAGAGAAACAAAAGGAAGGTTTATAGGATTTTGAATGAAAGTGGAAGGTTGTGGGATCCAGGAAAACAAACAGTAAAGAATTTGAAGGCCATGTATCTGATACTATGCTAGATCAGCAGATACAGATGATGAACACGTGATGCCCACACTCACAAAGCTCAACAGTTTGTCAGAGGAAAAAGCAAAACCAACACAAAACATTCAAACATTGATCTACGCAATATTATGGAAGAATATGCAGACTGTGGAATGGCAGCACCAAGAGGAAAGCTCTCAACTCTCACAGGGTGTTAAGAAGCATGGGACATGGGGCTATGCAAATACCAAATAGTTTCTCGAGTGTGAAAAACTAAAATAGTGCTCAAGATCCTCACGGGACACTTAGCGAATAGGAAGAAAAGGAACAAAGGTGTAGGGACAGTGAAAAGGATAGGGAATGGAGAATAAGGGAAAAGGAAAAAAATACGAGAAAATGTACAAATGGAATTCAAGTGCTTGAAGCGGGGAGGGGAGGAGGGGTGCAGGGAGGGGAGGGACAAGGGGAAAAATGAGAACCAAGGCCTGGCATGTGAAGGTACAGGATCCCAGTAATGAATGTAACTTCACTGTATACCTAAATTGTACCAATAAATTAAATTAAATGTTAAAAAAGAAGCATGGGACATGTAGCACACCTGTAGAAGCCCTGGAATGTCTTTAACGGCCTCAGTGGCACTTGCTTTGTGCTGGGCATTACCGTCCCCAGGAAAATCACTGATATGCTTGATGAACCAAGTGAATATTTACCCTCAGAGGGTCGTGAACACTAATGTAAGTGAGCCTCACTGTTCACACAGCACAGCCAATTCTCTCCTTCTGCATTTGGTCATCTCTTCTCCCAAACAAAACCAAGAAATCCTTTCTATTTTCTTGTTTGGTCTTTTTCTTATCACATTATTGTTTGGTAGTGGTGGGAAAAAAGGGCAATCTAGATGGGGCGTATTGAACTAGGTCATTGACACTTCAGGAAACTTCGTGAGACGTGTGAGAGAGGCAAGAGATAAAACTGAAGGGAATCCCAGGAACTCCATCAAGAAAAGATACTCAGCCCTTGGGATGCAGTGGTGAAGAAGGAGAGGGAACAAACCCATAATATGTATAAGGAACGGTTCTAAGTGTTCTACACTTGCTAACTTAATCTTTCATCTGAAGTAGCCTCTACATTGCTCCTATTTTGTAGATGAGGAAACTGAGGCATCAGGTAACTAAGCAATTTGCCCACACAGATTGTGTGAAGCTTTTAACTCAGGCAGTGCAGCTCCGCTTGTGCCTTTAACCACTACAACCTGAAGCAACCTAAAGCATGAAAAATGACAATATGGTAAATCCTGGAAAGGAAAAGAATAGGAAGCCATGAGATCCATTTCCCAGATGGAGAAACCTTAGATGAACTGAGGGAAACTGACCTTCTCATCATCATACTCATTAGTAGTTCAGTTGTGTTCTAATTCAGATCTCCAAGCTCCTCTGACAGTTCAGGACTCCTTTCTCATTCTGTGTGTTGCAGACTTGAAAAGGCAAAAACTGAAAACAAGAAAGGAGTTAAGTATGAATCAACTGGCATTGCCTTATTGAGGGTCAGAGAGAGAGATGAATGGAGAAGCACAGTCTGGGGCTCTAACTTTGCCCTGCTCATTAACAACTATGAGACTCTGTGCCTCAGTTTTCTCCTTTGTAAAGGATTAGATAATATCTCCATGGCATCAGATAATTGCCATGGCCCTTGCAGCTCTCACATTTTTGTGATGTTAATATCAATGGGTCTTCAATGGGATTGTGGACACTTTCCAGTCACCCAGAGCCTTGGAAACCTTTGTTCAAGGCCACAAAATGACAGTGCCTCAAAGAATAATGTATTTTAAATATATGTTAAGACAAAAATAACAGATCTTTATCCTTTAAGAAATAAGACTATATACTGCATCTATAAATAGTAAAAAACATTTCTGTGCACATTAACAGAGCTTTAGAACACTCTAAACTACCAAAAATATATGTTCTAACTGGAATCCCTGTGTGTGACCTGTTATCCACACCTAACCCACTGCAGGCAAACAACATTTCATTGTTTTCCATTAGCTTTTGCTCCTTATACTCTTTAATTCCTGGTGGGTGCTTTCTAATAAACCAGTTGTCCTATTCTTCTTTTTAGGTGATTAGACAATTTACAGTTATTAATTTTCTCCCTTCAAAGTTCTCTAGCCCCTTAAATGTTGGTGGTTTCTTCGTATGTTTGTTTTGGGTTTTTTTTAAATTCATTTGTTTGTGTGTCTGTTTTGGTACTTTCACATGATTGCCAACTTTTGGAAAAGGCCTTTTACCCAGTATCATTAGGTGCCATCATTGCAAATTGACATATTTTTAAGCATTTTTCAGACTAATTATCATTAGTTTGATGGCTCAAAGACTCTCGCTTTAGAGAAAGTAAGAATGTTTAGGATAGACATAGAAACTAAGCCTCTCAGGACTGATTGGTCATAAGATGACTCACACTCAGACATCAAATGCAGGCATCATCACATGAGTGGCAAATACAGAGAGGCTGGCAACATATTTTAGAATAGAAAATATTGAGGTTTGATCAATCAACTCTTTCTGAAGTATATGTGTACATTTATAGTTCCCAGAAAGTTATAAAAAGAACCGCAGAGCATAGTAGTGTCAAAAATGAACAGTATTTATGGAGTATCAACTATATGCTTTGATATGTGAGATATTTTACATGTGTCTTTAAAGCTAACCCTTATAACTCTGAAAGATATGCATCATAATCCTCATATGACAAACAAAGAAATGGAGATTTAGAAAAGGTGAGCAACTTCCACAGAATCACTAAGACAGGTTATCTCTAAAGTGTGACTGACATTGAAGATCTTCAATAGGAGATGTTAAGACACACTTTATTGGATTTGCTGCTGTAACAAATAACCATAAATTCAGTGACTGAAAGTGGCAGAAATTAATTCTCTCACAGATCTGGAAGTCAGATGTTCAAAATTAGCCTCAACAGGCAGAAACCAAGGGGCTGGCAAAATATACTCTCTTTCTCTCCGGAGACTAGAATAGAATCTGTTCCTTTCCTCTTCCAGCTTGCAGGGGCAACCCAAGCTCTCTCAACCCAGCCTCCAAGACTAGCATTTTCAAATCTCCTTCTGCTCCGTCTTCACATCCCTGCTCTTCTGTCTCATCTTTTTAAGAAGATACACGCGATTGTATTTAGGGACGACCTGGATTATTCAGAATAGTCTTTCACCTCAAGATCCTTTATTTAGTCACTTTTGGCAAATAAGGTAATATTGAAAGAATTCAGGGATTGAGGAGCTGAGACTTCTTAGGGGCCACCATTCAGCCTATTATAAGGAGAAATGTGAGACTTCCTCCTGTACCCCTTATTCTCTCCTGGCTCTCATGAGGCTTAACTGTAGAAGTATACATTCACAATTTCATGTCCACAGATCTGAAATCCTAAATACTCTGAAAACAGATATATATTTTCACAAATTTGGTACAAACTCTGTGGCAGTAAAACTGGATACAAATCCACTTGAAGTTCTCTACGATCTTTAGTAATCTCCTTAGTACAAACACGTTCACTGCATAAATATTAATTACTTTGGTTACCATGTTACTGCTAGGTATATTGTATCATCTATATTGCTATCACTATTCTAAAATCTGAGAATATCTGAACTCAGAATACATTTGATCCTAAAAGTTTTAGGTAAGAGATTGTGACGTGCAGGAAAGGGCACCGAAAACATTCTCAAAGGGTTTGAGTAGGGCTGAAACCTGAAAGACAGACTGAGAATCTCTTGAGGACCCTAGAGTTTAGTAGCATATTCAGGGAGTTATGGAACCAGCACGTTTGGGAAATTCTATGAGTGGCTAAAAACTGATTATGAAGTTATCCCTGGTACCAAAAATATATGTATAGAGAGAATGTGAATTATGGGAAGAAAGCCCTTTTTCCCTTTATCTTCTAGCAGCATTATATTCAATTGTTTATGTCTGGCTGTCTCCCAGAGTAACAGGGTTGGCTCCGCAGTGGCTGCTCATAGCAGCGACTCCTGCTGTCAATGTGAGAGGCCCAGGAACAGGATGGTTGCTTGCCTCCCTGTTTCATGTTCCGATGCACTGACGTGGCCACTGCCTCTACTTTTGCTCAAAGCCGCAAAGCCCATCAGGGAAGATCCTCCACCTGTCCTGGGAAAAAGTTTCTTCCAAGCTCCTCATCAGATGCTAGATGTCAAGTTCAGATCATCTTCTCCCTGTTGCCACCACCACTGCCACCATTTTCCTTTTTTGGGTAATGTCCAATGTCCTTTACCCCTCCCACAAACACACACACCCTTGGGGAGAGCTCCCGTCAGCACCTTTGGGGTGATGATCTTCTTATGTATATTCACACAAAACAAATATTCTCACTTTACTTTCTTTGACAGAATCAAGATACAGACCTTGAAAGGTTATTTAAATTTTTATCATTTAATTTTTAATTGTAATGCATTCTTCTTGGGCTAACCACTCTGAAAATGCTTAACCTTGGTCAAGGAGAAAGTAGATGTCTGAATCAGGCAAATCCATCATGTCAACTAGAAAAAAATTATTCCAAAAACATGTGCTATTTTGGAAAGATGCAGAAAGTCTAATAGCATCATTTCCCTTTGGATAAGATAATATATTGTTTACAGAGATATCCAGAAGGAGCTCAAACTATCTCACTTGGTGATTCACTCAAATTTGTCACAAATGTTCCTCTCCTTCCATTTTTATTTGTCATCAATATAAATGACATCCCTTCATAGTGTGGATGCCATTCTAGATCAGACTCCAAACTCTGACTGATATTAAAAAGGAACAAGAAATTCCACATAAGTAAAACTTCCAAAGAAGTAACGCATGCTTTCATAAAAGTCAAAATGTAAAAATCAAATCGGACTCATTGTCATGAAAGCATTTGGAGTGCATTGTTCGGAGTTCATAGGAAGGTTTTGGTAGTGCTTGACTTCTGGAAATCTAATGGTCAGAAATCCCTAGTGAGGGAGCTACAGTCACCATCCTCCTGTGATTACTATTAACAGAGAGAGCAGGAGAGTGGCAAACAAGTGTCCCCAGGTTATTCTAGCAGCAGCCCAACAGCTTCACAAGAGCTCACTGACCCTTACTCTTAGCATGGCCCTCTGGCTCCTCCCATCCATGCACAGACTTCTCCCAGACGTCTGCAACAAAGAGAAACCCTATCCTGCCCTCAGGATCCCCAAGGACGATACAGGAGCTCTGAGAAAAGAAGAGGACGAGTGGCACTGTGGCCATGTTTCCAGTGTAACTAAGAAAACATACCTAAAAGCAAATTTTCTAAAACGAGATTTTAAGCAATTATATGGACATTTAAATAAGTGCACAGCATGTGAAAGGCGATGGAGAGTACTCACGAGAAGGGAGAGTTTGGGGGAAAGATCACCTCCTTAGAAGTTAGGAGAACTGGGAGCTGCCCCTCGTTCTATCCTTGCACAAGGAAAGACATTTAACCTCATTGATCTCAATCTTCATCTACAATTGAAAATAATAAAGCCATTATTATAGTGTATGTAAGCAGGCACTGTGAGACTACAATGAGTCAATATACAGGGAGGGTTTTTTTTATATAAATTCCAAAGTACAACACAAATAAATATTTGCTATAATAAATGAGAAATTCTCGGTGTTTATTAAAACACCAGTCTCATTTCCTCACAACCACATAGGACATAGAAGCCCAAAAGTTTTCCACCAAAAGGGTAAAACCAGCGATGATTGTTTAGATTCACCAAAACTTGTCACAGATCTGTGTGATGGTGGATCATGTCGATCTGAGAAGTTTGGTTAAAAGAAGCTTAACTAAAAGGGCTCAGCAATTTCACAGCCTAGAGTGTAGAAGACCCACCCTTGGGCAGCTCTTCCTAGGTGGAATAAAGGGGAAATGAGGAATGACGGATCTGTTTCTGTTTCTTCAGAGGAGCTCCAGCCTTCACCTTCACCTTCGGGGTCATCTGCTGGCTTCCAGAGCAGACTCCTCAGCCTCTGGCACAGATTCTTCAGCCTTCTGGCATAGACTCCCCAGCCTTCCAGCACAGACCCATCAGCCTGATACAGACTCACAGGAGTGAGCTCCAGACCTTCGGCTGAACCCTTCAGTCCCCAGAGTGCACAGACCAGCTGCACTTCCTCATCTCATTGTGAGTGGCCATTGCAAACCAATCTTGTAACTTCATAGCATTTTGTACCTTGTGTGATATCCACTTCAGTAAACATTACTAATACAGTCTAGATTAAGCTTTTTTAAAAAGTAATTTTTATTTTGTTTTATTCCATGCCCCCTTCAGGCTCCCTCTCCTCCCTATGTGCAAAAGCTTTGGTTCCACATTTTCCTTCTATTCTTTTTTTCTTGTCCCTTCCTTCCCGTCTCCCTCCCTCCTCCCTTGTTCCTCTTTCCATTTGGACATTTTCTTCCCCTTTCCAAACATTCATTACATATTTCAGTCCTTATTTCCACTCTCAATTTCTTATACCAGAGAAACAATGTGATATTTAAACATGTGTCCAATGCATTTCACTTGAGTATGTATGGTCTCAGTTTCCATTCATTTAGCTACAAATGTCTGAAGCTCATCCTCCTTTATGGCAGAGTAGTACTCTATTATATTTTTTAAAATCTTCTTTATCTACTCGTCAGTTGATAGGCATTTAGGCCGTTTCCAAGATTTAGCTATTACAAACCATGCCCTATAAACATAGGTGTGCATACATTACTGTGGTATGTTGCTTTAAATTCTTTCAGGAAGATACCAAGAAGAGAAATAGCTGGGTCAAATGGAACCTCTAGTTTTAGTTTTTTGAGAAATCTCCACACTGATTTCCACAATGTTTGCACCAGTCTACACACCCACCAACAGTGGAGAAGGTTTCCTTTTTCCCCACAGTCCCTCCAGCATTTGTTATTGGCTGATTTCTTGATAGCAGACATTCTTTCTGGAATGAAATGGAATTTCAGCTTTTTTGGGGGGGTGGTACCAGGGATAAAACTCAGGTCCTTGTGCTTGTGAGGCAGGAGGCGGAAACATGGAGCTAAATCCCCAGCCCAGCATTGTTTAAATTTACATTTCTTGAATGAATAACCAGTAATGTTGAACATTTTTTCATATATTTACTTGCCATTTCTAGTTCTTCATCTGAGAAGTGTCTTTTTACTTCAGATGCCTATTTTTGCATTGGGTCTTTAAATTTGGGGAGTCTGATTTATTTGAGTTCTTTATATATTCTAGATAATGGTCCTTCTGAATAGCTGCTAAAAATATTTTCCCACTCTGTTGGTTGTCTCTTCACTCTGTTGGTGGTTTCTCTTGCTGTGCAAAAGCTTTTTAATAAGATGAGGTCCCAGTTGTTGATTCTTTGTAGTATTTCTCATGTGGTCTGGGTTTTGTTCATGAGGTCTTTGCCTACTCCCATGTCTTCAAGAGTTCTACCTATTCTCTCTTACTATTCTTTCTTAGTGTTTCTGTTTTAATATTTAGATCTTTGATTCATTTCTATTTTAGGTTAGTGTGTGGTGAAAGACATGGGTGTAGTTTCAATCTTCTGCATGTGGAATGCCAGTTTTTCAAGCACCATTTATCAAACAGGCTAATTTTCTTCCAGTGAAGGTTTTTGGCTCCTTTGTGAAAGATAAGGTGGTTGGGAATGTCTGGAGTTTGTTTTTGCATCCTCTAGTCTGTTCCATTGATCCTCAGGTCTGTTCTTTTGCCAGTACCATGCTGTTTTTATCACTGTAGCTTTGTACTACAGTTTCAAGACAGGGATCATGATGCTTCCTGCTTTGCCTTTCTTGCCCAGAATTGCCTTTGCTGTTCTAGGTCTCTTCTGGTTCCCAATGAATTTTGGGGTTGTTTTTTTCTAATTCTGTGAGATAGGCTATTAGGATTTTGATTGTGATTGCACTGAATCATAGCATGGCTTGAGAGTTTCTCAAGGTGTTTCCTATGTGGGCTGCAGCTAGTAAAAGCCACAAAAGCAGTCTAGGAAGCATTGTGCTCTAGGCAGGCACTTTGGTACCATAACACTGGAAGTTGAATTGAACTTTTGATGGAATATTCTACTATTTAAGTAAAAATTTTGACAATGTATAGAAAAGCAAGATGAGAAAATCAACATTTTAAAGTGTGTTTTATGTGTGGTTCAAAGTCCATATTCCTTGAGCAACCATGGGTTATAAGGAAAGGGTGCTAATACTGGTGTAATGGCAGGTTAAGAAAACAGAAAGACTTTATTCTTGATGCTAGCAGAAAAGACATCTTGGGCACCAGCTCTTACTATGGGAACCGTGTTGGGAAAAACAAGATAGCAAAAATAATCCAGTAATTCCTTGCATTAAGCAGCCTCAATAACCTCCAAAGTTTTCTCAGAGATATTTGTAAAAACTTTTCCAAAGGATTCTTTCAGATTGCATGGTACTACAATTCCCATCATCTGCCAGTGAGAAACAATGTCAGGAAATAAAACAATACTTTGTTTAATATTTATGCTTTTCCCTCATATTAAATATAATTTATGCAACTGGTGTTAGTATTGCCCTTTTTAAATATGTATACTTGAAAGGGGTTTATATGATACATGATTATCATTTATAATTAATTAATTCAATATGGAGTTTGTGTTCATGCCTATAAAAAGTTGGGCACAGGGCCCTGTGTCAAGAGCATAATCTGCAGCTACATCAGTCTCCCTACAGGAAGATCGGGTTTAGCTTACAGTATATTTTCTGGGAACGCCTCATCCCAGGTACAAACCCACTTTCTTTGTTGTGCACATCATTTGACAAACGTTTCCTTGGTAGGTTGGAATTATCACTAAGAGTGAGGAAAAAGACATAGATAAAATGTAAATAGGGAATTACTAGAACTGATGTTTGTACATCAGAATGAAGTTTGTTTCTCATCAAACTGCTCTCCTAAAGTTTACTGGCAAACTTCAGATCACAGAAGCCAAGGCTTTTATTGTTTATTCCCATTCTATTTAAAGTTGCCCTGAAAATTCTCTCTCTGGAAATTTCCTGTCTCCCTGTTCACACTTCTGTGTGCATTTCTGACATGTCCCTCTGGCTCTTCTTCTCCCTCTTCCCAGCTGGCTTTTCTTTCATCCTTCCTTCCTTCTTTGTCCCATCCTTAGCTTCCTGGGCCTTATTCTGTCTCCCCAAAAAGGTCCTCCTTCAACAGCTTCACTATTCCCTATGACAGTGGCACCAAACTACATCTCTACTCCTAATTCATCTCCTTTTTGACTTATTTGGAAGCCAGTAGGACATTTCAACCCAAATGTTCCATAGACTCTTCAAGTTCAATTTATCTAAAACACAATTAATTAATATCTCCCCTCCCGTGATTCCTTCCTCAGTTAACAACTTCATTATCCCCTCCCTCCCCAGGGTCATCAACTTTGAAGTCCTCATCCAATCAAATCCCAGTCATTCCACCTCTGTAACATCTTCACAGCATCCTATCTATTCCTCCACCATTTCCTCTCCATTAGCAGAGAGAAGAGTGCTCACTTATTTGCAGCACATTCCTCCAAGAATGCTCAAACCCTGGTATTATTTTTATCATCATTCATCTGCCCTTTTATAAACTGAGCCTACTAGGCTGAGCACTGTCAGTGTGCAAATTAGCTGGCAAAGCTATTGGACTGAGAAACACCACACAGACACAGTGATGGACTGCTCTCCTCCCCATCCGACAGAAGTGCCTATTGGGGTGAGCATGGGCAACTACGGAAAGGTAAGGCTTGGGTATGTAGGACAGAAAAGGAAAGGAAAGGGCAGAAGATTTGTGCTGTGTTTCAGCTCTGCATTTTACCTTGCAACTGCACCAAATGTCTCATCAGATAATAACTGATATTGACTAACATTAGTTTTTCAGAGTACTACTTTTTTTTTAAATTGAGTTTATTGGTACAATCTAGGTATACAATACAGTTACATTCATCACTGGGATTCTGCACCTTTACATAATAGGTCTTGATTCTCATTTTTTCCCCTTGTCCCTGCCCTCCCTTCACTGCCCCCGCTCCCCATTTACAAACACTTTATTTCCTTTTTTCAGTTTCCCATATTTTTTCCTCTCCCTTATTACCTTTCCCCACCTTTCCCACTTTCCCTACACCTTTAGCCCTTTACTTCCTATTTCACATTATTAATTATCTCGTTAGGATCCTGTGTACTATTATAGTTTTCGCACCAAAGAAACTATTTGCGCTCAAGCTCTGGAAGGTAGGCTGGGCCCCGATCCACCGCGGGAAGCAGAGTACTACTAAGTACTTCAGAATGCTGTTTAATTTCAACTTAGGGTAAGTTTATAAGGTATCACTATTCTTGTTAACATCTTCATCTTATATAAACTCTGAGAGATTTATAGACGTACCCAAGATTAGAGAACCGATTTAACAGCAGGAGTAGACTTTGAATCCAAATTATATGACCTCAAAGCCTGGACTCTTCCGGTAAGGACACAAAGTC